AACTAAAATTTTCTAACGTGTATGAGTCTTAAAGTTTTAAACAGTCCTTATTTGTAGCTGTTAAGCTGAAAAGAAATGTAATTTCCCCGCGTGTATGTGTGAAAAATCAGGCAAGGGAGAAAGTAAAGAGGAAAGTATAAGTGTCACGTAGCTTGGTTATGAAAACGGATGAATGAGTAAGGGAATCTCTTTGAAGCTTTCGTCGTGCACTGTTGACTCTATTGACGATCCTTACTGACTTAACTGGTCTAGAAGCTTTGCTTAAATACTCTTCAAAGGGATTGCGAGGCATATTTTTTTTTATTGCCAGCGGGAACGCGACCCATTGGCTGAAAAATGTTAAATATTTATTTTCAAAGAATTAATTTATTAACCAAAAGAATGCGCGGATCCTTCGAGTCAGAAAGCATTTCTTTTTTTCATTTTTTTGTCATTTGATGATTGACTGATTTAGTGTTTCTTTCCTTTTTCGCTTCACAAATTATTTTATTATCATTTGTCTTTTATCCACTGATTTTGTCAGCTTTTCTGCCTCTTTCCCCTTAACATTATTTCTAGCAATTTTTATTGCTTCCCAGAGGTGATCTTTGCTTGAATATTGTTTCCCATTTTCACATACATCCCTTAAGTTTTCTAATGAATCTGGAGAGGCCGAGGATCATTCCATTAATTTACTTTGACAACCATTTTTGTAACAATCGGTAGATTTGCAGAACGTAAAGAAATATTGCATTGTATTAATATCTTCTGTTTCATTTGGTTGGTTGGTTGGTTGGTTTGGTTTGGTTTGGTTTGGTTTGGTTGATTTTGTTTAGTGGCTTATCAACACTTATATGTGTTATTTAATACCAAAATCTATTTTTAATACAATTTTATGGTTTCAATTAAATATATTTTGAACGCAATTGTATGCCTTCAACTACAGATAAAATGTATTGTTGGTCATTTTACTATAAATATGTATTGTTGGTCGGCTGATTTTTTAGCGGCATATCAACACCTCTATGGGTTATTTAATGCCGAAATGTAAATATTTTAAACACGTTGAGGATATTGGAGGCTTTGAGGAACGTGCAATGAACCAACTCTTCATTGCCTCTTAATTAGCCAGTTCCAACCTCTGTTAGGATCCCAGACTATGGACAAAGAGTGAACCACAAACAAAACAATAAATTTTCATAGTAAAAATACCAGCAATACATTTTTATATAAAAAATTACCATATTTGTAGTAAAGTTTCCAAATTGCTTCAAAGATCACATGAAAATTAAATTTCGGCATTAAATGACCCATAAGGAGTTTACATGCAGTTAAACAAACAAATCAACCAAATACAACATTAATGGAAGCAGTTACAATACTGAGGAGAATGCTGGGCAACTGAGGAAACTTGCTGTCACTTTACTCCTGGTGTGAACACTCAATGAAGAAGAAGTAGAAGGAGGAGGAGGAGGAAGAGGAGGAGGAAGAAGAACAAGAAGAACAAGAACAAAAATAAGAAGAGGATGAGGAGGAAGAGAAAGAAGAAGAAGAAGGTTAAATAACTAGTAAGTAGTGGTATTACAAACAGGTGCTTCGCCAGACAAAAACTGTATTTACTATATTTTTAATATCTTTTGAATTTTTTTTCTCATCTTTCTCTCGCATTTTTTGCCACGTCTTTTTACCGCTCAGCTACATCTGTTTGTTTGGTGCTGAAATATTTTCCTGAAACACGTCAGCATCCATTAGACAAGCAGACAGTTGGAATCATTAGCTCGAACTTTTGCTTCCCGTTTTCTTATCTTCGTTAAACGAAAAAAATTTTGCTACCTCCTTTTTTGCTCGTCTTTGTTTTTCATAGACTTTTTACTCTTGTTTTAATTTCCTACTTTATTCACTTGTAATTTTTCTCTCTTTTTTTCTTCCTTAGATTTTTCCTATGTTTGCATATTTCCGAGACGAGCTAGTCTTCAAAATGCTTACAAAATTTGCCTTTTTCTCTTTTAATTCGTTTTTTTTTCCTCTGTATTTGTCTTGTGTCTGTTAATACATTCTTTCTACTGTCATCCTCTAAAACGCTTTCTTTCTTTCTATTTGTCTCTTTTATGGTCGTTTTGTTTTTCTTTTACACATGCCATTGTTTATATTTTCTCTTTCTTTTCTTTTTTCTTTCACCCTACACCTCCCTCTTTTACATATTCACAAACTGTAGCACGGCGAAAATAAATCAAGACAGGATTTCATAAAGAAAGAAAGTGTGATGATTTATATTTCATTTTTGTTGTGGACTTCTTTCTAAAAAGTTTTCATAACAGCCAAACAGCTTAACGTCGACGACGATGATGATTAAACAACTTTTGAAAAGACTCTGTTATCAAATTTCAAACTATTGTTTGCTTTGGTTTGTTTAACGGCATATCAACTTCTTATGGCTCGTTTAATGCCGAAATTTAATTTTCTTGGGAACTTTGGTAATTTTTTCTGTTAAAATCTATTGCTGAAAATTTTTTGTCTTTTTCTATTAAAATCTATTGCTGGAAATTCTTTTACTATTAAAATCTATTCCATCAAAATCTATTGCTGATTTTTTTTTAAATTGTTTTACTATTAAAATCTATTGCTGGAAAATGTTTGCCATAAAAATATATTTTTATATTTTTATAGTATTTTGATGCCGGTTTGGGGGGTTCACTATTTGCCCATAGCTGGAGCCCTAACAGGTGCTACTACCCCGGGTCAGAGTAGAGCTGGAAACAATTAAGAAGTGGTTCCACGATGCTCAAAACTTTCCGATCAGAGGCCTTGCTGCCGAATGTACTTTATCGTTATACCCAGGACAATTAAAACCATTGTTAGTGATCCCAACACAAAGAAACTCTTGTGGAAGAATAACAGTTTGATATTAAGCATAATTTGAAAAACAAAATTGATTTTTACAAATAAATTTCACAATATTTTTATTATATACTTTTGTACCTGGATAGCAGTTCGGATTAAGAAATTGGAGAACCGAGTTCGAATTCCAGTCAAATCCGTTACATTCACTTACGTGATAATACCCTTGGAAAAAGTATAAATCCTCTTCTCCCCCAGCTATGGGTAAATAGCAGGACAGACTGGGTTCTATAACCTTGGATGGCAACTGGTCTACCGCAGAAAGAAATGGCAACCTACTACAGGAAAAAATCTGCCTCGTCAGTCATATATCGAAAGATACATGATCGCCTAAGTGTGTATCACGTATGGCACATAACGGACTGGCAGTTTGACAGCTTTTCAATATTTTTTTCAAATACTTTTTATCATTCTCCAATTGTTCATTTTATGGAGATTTTATGAGCATAGTTTAGATGTCGCACAAGGCCGAAAGTATGAGGCACCCAGTGAGGATTGTATTCACTATTCAGTCGTAATTGATTTAGCGGGAGATGCTTGTTAATCATTGCACTACGTCGAGTACCCAGATCTCTCATTTTATGCATGAAAAGGCGAATTTTAATATTTAATTCGAAACACCTGTGGTTACATTGGAAAAAAAATTTTCCCACCTCTACCTGGTAGTTTTACGTCCTGTACTCTACACGTTCGTGTTACGTGTATCCGGATCTTGGGTATAACAAAAGAAGAAACATGAAAGCACCCACGTCACAGTAATATCCTGTAAGTTTTCATTCATTTTTGCTATGTTACCGACATCTTTAACACGTGGATGAATAAAGTGTTGAAATAAACATATTCACACTTTTATGTCATAGTTCCAGGATAAAACTTTAACATTTGACATATAAAGGCAACTGACCGTTCTAGTATTAACAAGACATTAGCTGGTGCTTAAGTTTTACAATATGAAACAAATACAGGGTGTGGAATAATATTTAAGGAAACGCCATTTTCAACCCATCCACGTGTAAATGGAAGACATGCGCCAAATTGTAACAATTTTGTCTTTTTCTTTTAGATTTATAAACTACATTTGCATAAAAACTTCCAGTTTGACACAAGAAATGAAAAACCGTGTCGGGTTTTGTTGCAATGGACGCCAATCAGTGACATTCGGAGTTAACCATCTTCTTGAAAATGACCAAATGGACAGGAGAAATGACATGTAGCTCTGTGTCACAGAGGTCCCCACGGTGATGGACTGGTGTAGACTTGTGAGAAACGAGGAACATGGCATGCTACCACAATTATATCTCTGCAGCGCCTCAGGGTTAATGTCAACGTCTACACCGAGATGCTAGACACGGTGGTCAAAGCCCTGATCTGTGGGTTAATTATACTAGATCCAGCAGGACAATGCCTCCCACGTGACCTCGAACCTCTCCAGATTGAACTCCCACCCCCCGGCTGCTATGTCTGGGGCATTGTAGTGATAGAAAAAATAAAGAAATGAAAATAAATAAACAAACAATAACAAGGACACCGAAATTTCACCATCTCTCTCTCTCTCTCTCTCTCTCTCTCTCTCTCTCTCTATATATATATATATATATATATATATATATATATATTCAGAATTGCGAGGCCATGAAGTTATATTTATATTATATAACCAATCAGAAAGCTTACCAACCAAGATACAATCATCAGAGTTGGGCACCCCTGGAGGCGGTGTAATGATTAGCAAGCTTGTCTCGCTAGCACAATTACGAATGAGTAGTCAGTTCGATCCTCACTGGGTTCAGCGTTGTGTCTCATCTAAGCTACGCTTGAAAAATCGCTACAATCATCATAGTCTAGCGAGCGAATCAAAAACAAAGGATATGCGGTCAGTTATCGTGGACCAATCAGAAGCCAAGCGCCAGTTTCGAAGCGGATCTCTCTAACAAACTAAATCAGAATCGATGAATTATTTTTCACAATTCTGCGGTAATGCGGTCATCGTAACACGCCCATTGTCGAAATACGATACTTATGCGAGACGCACACAGTCATGCAAGGCACTACATATACATACCAACTTCTACCATTTACACTAGAAACTAAGACGTCCACACAGTACTGCGTTGACACTAAACATGTATACTTCTTTTACCCTTTTAACCAGGTGTCTACTACCTCTGTATATGCATTCTGACTCTCTCTCTCTCTCTCTCTCTCTCTCTCTCTCTCTCTCTCGTGCACCAGTATATATACATTTGAACTCTTGAGCCTCCAACTCATCGATATATTAACTCTATGCATTTTCATACAAGGCCCAAATAGACCATATATGCCTGAGAATGGACGTCATCACCTCATAACCCCTACCACTCTCCATAAAATGGCAACAATGCGAAAGATTTCTTCATTAAACATTGCATTGTGATCATACTGACACAAACAGAATGAAATACGATTAATTAATTTGGTGCAATTAATTTAGAATTTTTATCTCCTTGCTTAGCCTGTCAATGTTTACTTTGAAGTATCAAATCTCCCATTTTCTTCCTCCTTAACTTCTTATTCATATAAGAAGTGTATAAGTGAGTAAGCGAGGAAGAGAAAAGTGAGAGAGAGAGAGAGAAAGTAAAGGAAAGAGAGAGGACGTGCGTGTGTGTGTTTGTAGCTTCTCTCCTGATTTCACTTCTTTGCGCGTGCGTCATGTGCAGACGAGTAACTATTTTGTTGGACTTATAACAAAACCAGCTTCCGATAAGCAGTCGACGGTCGACGTCTCCTGAAGTGGAAAAGAAACAAGATTAAAAAAAAAATATAGTTAAAAGAATAGGAACAAAAAATAAATATGGAAAAAGAATAGTCGCTAAGGAGTAGAAAGGGGAGCTGATGGGTTACGTGAGCAACTGGAGAGCGTACTAATTAACAACTTCGTTGGAGGTAAAGGGAGATAACATAGACATTTGGTGGACCTTTTGACTCTTACTCATTTTTGTTACCGCTCATCTAGCAGTGTTGCTTTTATATATAAACAACCACAAAACACGCCCGTACAATCAGACGCAGACGCGTAGATACATACATACATACATACATATATATCTTGACACCATTTGTCGTAAAAATCACTGAAAACCTCTTCGAGTTATTCAGCTATAAAGAGAACAGGTTAAAATCGTTTTGTGTCCGATCTACTGTCTCATCAAATAAGCAATGGGGAAAGAAAAAAGATCATTCAGGCCTTCAGTAATGATACCAACATTTATATTCTGGGGCTTACATTAAGGAGAGAGAACAAGTTAATATAAGTTAATATAATCAAGAAAATCATAATATCTAATAATAAATAAAATTATATAGATAACAATAATAATAATTTTAAAAAATAATAAATACAAATAATATTAAAAATTATATATATGGCAATGATAATAAACAATATCTATGATGTGAGCATTAGTATGACAAACACATCACCAGACCCACATACGCTTATACATACACACACACATATATACACACATGAATATGTATATACACGTGTATACACACATTTACACATATATATACACATACATACATATATATGTATATACATACATACTTATGTTTGTGTGACAAGCACACACAAATACACATACACATACATATATATACACACATACGAACATATGTACATATATGTCTGTACTCATATACAATAGGAACCAAAATCTCAAGTGCATTTCCCTCAAAGTCAATGTTTTAGAGTAATTTTAATTTATTTTTATATCGGCACTTGAAAAAAAAAACTTCATTCCTTTGGCCAGCACTTTTGTATTTAATTATGATCGTCTTCCTTTATGCATAGATTGCATCTATCCCGGAAGTTGTTGGGAGTTTATGAATGGCAGATGATATCCCATTTAATCTGTGGGATGAAGCCTCTATCTTTAAGTCTCCAAAAATGTTTAGAGAGAGCGAGCAGTTTGGTGCATAAAAGAAGCATCACTGAATGAATGTATGTGACTGTAGAACCTCTGTTTCTAACTCCCAGTGGAGATACCGATGTATACTTTTTTATCAATAATATTTTCTTTTGGAAAGATGTTAGCTTGGTATTCAACAGTATCCGAATTACAGATACAGCCAACTGGGCAGTCAGTTCTGGTTTTACAATTGCAATTATATATATATATATATATATATATATATATATATATATATATATATATATATATATGAGTTAGATTAGTGTTTGTGTAAGTGTATAAAAGAGAAATTCTTGAAAGTTGCCGAGCGACTTTCTCTTCATTATTATTCAATAATAATAATAATAATAACCGAATTAACCAATTACTACATAAAGTTTCATTAAATTTGTTGCTCTTTTGGTCTAATCTACCTTGAAAGTTAATGGCGGATTTGAAATTTTAGGTAAAGTCTTCTTTAAACAACTTCGATGCGATGCACTAATCTGTTAAAAAGTTTCAGCATTTTAGCTTAGTAGGAGTTAATTAAACCAAAGATGGCATGATACATACTACATATTAAATCCATAAGGTGACACCAAACCTTTAGCCTTTATACCGGATGCGATGGATAAATTGTCGTCTAAATTACACAAAAATGAATATAATACTGACATCTCATTTTAACAGATATATCTACCAAAATTACACAAAAATATCTTGAAATAATAGAGTAAATTTATTCAATAAAATCGCCATTGGCTTCAACCAAGGCCTCCAGACGACTTCGGAATCTCCTGCAACTCTTCTGAACGTTTAAGTTTGTGAATGCTTCCATAATCCTTGCCTTTAGTTCATCTTTTGTGTTACAAGGAGTTCTGTTAGTCTCTGGCTCAAATGCGGCCTACACATAATAATAAAGGGGGTTGTAGTCTGGAGAATTAGATGGCCAGTAATAAGGGGTGATGTGGGCACCTTGGCGTTGTGTAATGGTTAGCAAGCTTGTCTTGCTAAAACAGTTACAACTGGAGAGTGAGTTCGATCGTCACTGGGTGCCCCATACTTTCGGCCTTGTGTCACATCTAAGCTACACTCAGAAAATCCTGAGAAACGATATCATTAAAATAGGTTTATATCACTAGAAAGGAAATACGACTGAAGAAGACATAATTTGATGACAGCAAACGTTACACCAGTCACCGAGGAAGTTCGTTGAAACAATTTGCAGGATGTATCTTTTCTTATTTAGTTTCATGAAAATAGAGAAAAACAATGTGAATCTTAACCTCAAGTCCATTATGGAAACTCGCCTCTCTCTCTCTCTCTCACACACACTCTCTCTCTCTCTCTCTCTCTCTCTCTCTCTCTCTCTCTCTCTCAGACCAGTAAATATTTTCTTGATTGGCCAGTCTAAATTGTTTAATTCGATAATATTTCCACTTTGGTATCTAGACTTTATGAATTTAAGCCCAGTACTAGATTGGCGGCAAGGTCTCATCATTTAACAGATTGTAAGTTTTATGCTAACAGTTTCTACTCTTGCTTGTGAAACTCTCTTCCGACTTTGTGTTTCCCAGTCAACTTTGATCTTTAAAAATTTAAATGCAATGTCAATCATTTTCAGTTTCTGTTTTTTTTATTCTCTTTCCTTAATAATGACTTTTTACTCATATTCTCTCAAACGTGCGTCCCAATGGCGTTATTGCCTTCCTTGAGATGAAATCATTAAAAAAAAAACTATCTTGACTTTATTTATAATAGGAACAATTGCCGGGGTACACACTGATCAAAGTTACAATTAAGCACTTTGCAAGAGAAGCAAGATCTATCTTTTGCTTTTCTTGCAATGTATAAACAAGGAAAACCTTGTATTGAATAATTTTAATAACCTTATCTTAAATGTTTGCTGAACTAATAGCTATTTCATTATGGGTGGCATTACTCAAGATTCTATCCAAAGCTCTTTAACGCGTGAGAGCAGAGATCGTCGTTGCCAAGAAATTTACTTTTTCGATTTCCGTTTTTTTTTTCTTTTTAGCTGTAAAGTTTTTAAAGACTTAGTCGAACATTAGCCGTCTGAAGACCACCATTTTGGTTGATCTCAAAGAAATAGAATATAAATGACTACTCTTTGTAAAAACTAAAAAACTAAACGAATAATATGGTAGGGGGTGTTTGGATAGAGAATGCCTAGTATGATTAACCTGGCCTTGATATTTACGGCGGTTTAAACGTGGCACATCAAAGGAAACGATAACACAATAAAAACCAGGTGAGAAAAAGGAAAGAAATTACTGTGCTTAACGAATAAATACTCCTGCTGTGTGTAACTATGTGTATATTTGTGTGAGTATGTATAAAAAACGCTTGTGTATTTCTATCCATAAATGCGCTTGTCTTTCTGGGTGAAGCCACGCATTACTCCAAGTGTGTGATGGCCGCTCACACATATCATAGAATCATTAATAAACAAACACCTATACACGAATAAAGACATTTGAAAACGCATACCCTATCCCGAAAATAAGGATGATGAAAACACATTCCCCTTAGTGTTCAATCACACCCGCTCGTAAACAAAACAGTGGGCTAAGTGGCGCAGATATGTATATATCTATAAAATGTTTCAAGTCACATACGGGGTGATATTTATAGTTAGAGGAAACACGAAAAAAGGAAACAGAAGAGTGTTATGGATGTGACAGGAATCATGTTTTCAGATGTATTTCCCTCTTTTTTGGCAGGGATGAGGGTGCTAAGAATAATTTATGAACATGTAAGTTCAATCAAAGATCGTTCTATGTGCGGGCGTTTACAAACATACATCATATATATATATATATATATATATATATATATATATATATCAGTTGCGACACTAGGTCATCAATGTTTTGTCGGGCTCATTACAATCTTTAACAAAATATACTATTGGTATAACTTAGATGCTAAAATTATTCCTTTTCTTCAAATAAAATATATAGTTTTATAAATCTCTGTGCATAAAATTAAAAAAAAAATACATTTTGGTATTTTAATATTAATTGTAATAATTCTATAAAAATAAAAATTTATTTAAAAAAAATTCCAGACAATTAAGAAAAAAGAGACATGTTTGATATATTTGTCTGTTTATTGCCACTTTTTCATTTTTTATTGTTTTATAGCCTGGTTATCAAATCACCGATGGTAGAGTGTGTGCTTGTATGTCTATGCGTTAGTGTTTTTATGTATCTATCTGTTAATTTTTAGTTTAATTTATTGTAAGTTTATGATCAATAACTACTAACTTATATCACATTTCCTCAACACTCTACCGGTCACACTCCTCAATTTAATTTGCCCTTTTTCAATTGATACATTTCGCTAAAAAGCCTTATACTGTACGGAATAAATTATTTAAAATGGATATTTGAAAACAATAAGCTGAAATAAAATTGTGTTCTTTGAAAAGCAGGGCATACTAGTCATTAAAATTTTTAAAAGATTATTCATAAAATTAAAGCAAGAAATACATTGCCTATTAAGTATGTCTCCAGCTCTGATCAGGCTCAGACCCACTCAGCCCGACTAGCCACATTAATTTTATTTCATTCTTTTTTTTTACTTAGTTTCATTCTTTGTTTTTTTTTTCTTTTTTTTCTTTTCTTTTTCTTTCGTTATTATAAACAATATCAACGAAATGTATTTCGGTCAATATTTTGATAAGAAATGGCAATAAACATTTTGTTTTTTTCCTTGCCAGGAACAAATTCACAACCGCTTCCATCCCATTGATACACACAGAAGATGATATAACGTGAGGAAATGTAACCGAGATTCATATAATTTCGGAGTTCAAAATAATGGGTTTAATTTCCGATTCGTTTTACAGGATGATTTTTGTTAAATCTCATCAAACCATCGCTTTGACATCTTAAAGTAATTTGAAAGTGAAAGTGAAAAAGAAAGTGACATGAAGAAAATGTAGTTGGAAGGAAAGAGAAAAAGAGCAAAAGAAAGAAAGAAATTTTTATTTCATTTTATTTTTCTACTAATTTCGCGCCATTTTAGAAAAACGCAAAGCTGATGTCAGAAAAATTCTTTGCTGCAATCATTTGATGAAGAAAATAGTTCCTGATAGTCAAGCCCATAAATCATCATGACATTGTACGGCTAGCTTTGTAGTTTAGCGTTCGACAAACGGCACCAGCAAGGCGGTTTCAAGCTCTAGAATATGGCATCTGAGTAGTCTTATGCATGTTCCCCTGAAAACCGCCTCTCTGTCTCTCTCTCTCTCTCTCTCTCTGCATATATATATAATATTATATAGTACAAGATATATAATATCATTGACTCACATAACAATGAAATATTAAAATCATTTTATGACAGCGACATACCAGATAACAAGCCCTCTTGCAATTGTAGAACCAAAGCCAACTGCCCATTTGGAGGTATTTGTAATTCAGAAAAAGTTGTATACCAAGCTACCATCTTTCCAAAAAGAAAATATTAATGATAAAACCTGAGTAATAATTGCCACAAACGCAGATAATACAAACAAGTGTAATTGTATAAATTCTAACGAATGTCCATTACAAAACAGAAGTCAAACAGACTCTCTTGTTTACCTAAGCACTATTTCTACTATAGAAAATCCAACAGTTAAAAAATTTTATATCGGGAGTACCAAGAATTCCTTTTAAACTAGGTGGTACCACCATGTATTATCTTTCATCAATAACGCGTAAAAAAAAATAAGATGTCCCTTTCTAAATATTTTTGGAACTTAAAAGAAGTTAATAAAACCCCTATGGTAAAATGGAAAATATTTTAAAAAAATGTAAATCTTAAAATGAACGGTGCTTCTTATGTTTACATGAAAAATTACAAATAATGAAATTTGCTGACAAAAATATCTGTTAAATCAAAGGAGTGAATTAACTGTAAATTGCCGACTCAGTTTATCTTTTACCTTAAAATATAGTTAATTTTTTTTTTTTTGTTTTAAAATTACGTATTACCATTTCTTATAGCCATAATTTATTAGCATATAATGGTTCACACTCTAGGATAATTACCTTGTTTTAGTTATTCAGCTTAAATCCAGTTGGTATTATTAATATCTTATATAGATGTTCCACATTTTTAATTTTATCTAGTCCCATTTAAGAGGCTTCCTGAATATAAAAAAGTTTTTTTTTTTCTGTTAACCTTACGTCTGATTAACCCAGCTCTCCTTCAACGCCGTTTCAAAAAATTGAACATGTCATGTTTGTCTACAATCACGATACATTTGTCGCTGACATATTTGCCGCACTCATCAATGACGGCATGTCTATGTTCCGGTTTATCATGATATGAAAAAATAAATCACCCACCTTCACCCTCTGAGCTTACTTTTCTATTTAGCATAGATTTGACATTTAATCAAGACACAGCTCCAAGTCTATTTTTAATTTTGACCTTATGTCCCCCACTTTAAGTTTCGGAAAAAGAGATAACACACTTTGTTTTAAAATTTCTTTAAAATCATTTTAATCACCAGTTACCTACCATCGCCTGAAGAAGTACAATCAAAGTATTGAAACATGAAGGTTTTTTTGTAGCGATTTCAAAATGTTTTTATTATAATCTCTTATAATAAAAATATAATGATAATATATTGCTCTACTTTGTATTGAGCACTTTTTAAAGTAAATGCTACGAACGGTGGATTTTTACTCCACCTGTTCTTTCTCTCATTTTAATGGGTTTTAAAGACACAGCTAAAATCATAATTCATGTTTCCAAGGTTACAGATGAATCCAATTTACCAGACGAGGGTTGTCTCGGTGTCTATATTTTAATGTATCAGTTATTGTTACGTTTTGGTAATGGGTAGGGACGTATTTTTCAATGAAATCTAACATCCGTTAAAAACGTGTCGTCTGGATTAAATTTTTTTTTTTATTGTTAACGGCTAAAAACCCAGTAATTTTAAAAGTTACTCCAAAAATTCGCTTGAGGATGAAATGGAACTAATGTCTTTAATTTAATTACAAAATTAAATTCGGGGCATTTAGCTTCCATTTTGGAAACATGGTTAGAACTGTGTAGCGAAAAAAACCTTATTTTAAATCAATTCATTTATAATATTATATATATATATATATATATATATATATATGTTGAAACACACATGTCGCTCGTCCTTTCAAAATACTGGTAAAATAAAATGGTTTTGTATTTCATGCGCTACATGTATTACCTTTTCAACCCATAAAATGCTACATGTGCACAGAATAGGCCCCGTTATTACAATCGTGGCTGTGCCATTGGCGGCCGTTGAAGTAGTGAAGTTGAAGTAGGTGGTGGTGGTGGTGGCAAGAATTTATGTGCTTTCAAATATATCAATCCGTATGTGTTTTTTAGTATGCATCGCGTATCATACACAACATCGCCTTCTGTCTTTCTCTTTCTCTCTCACTTAACCTTTTCTGCTATCCTAATGTAACCAGACATTAAACCTTTGTTTGTAATTCAATTCTATTTATTGTTCTCTAATTACTTTCCTCTCAGGAAAACCGCAAAGAATGCTTAAGAGTCGAATTATTAAGGTCGACAATGTATAAAAGTTTCGAGGAGGGAAAAAACCGAATTTAATCGCATCTTCTATAAACAAAATAATATGATTAAACATTTAATAAATGGCCTTGCTTTTTAATACAATCGACTGCCTTTTACTTTACAGTGTAGTTATTTTGGAATAGCAAAAGGCGTGATATTTTTAAACGAAATCGAAAATTTAATGTTTATTACAGTTATTTGAAAGATAAACAAAGAGGAATTGTGTGCGACACATAGTCCTAAAAAAGTAGCAGGATTTGCAAATAATTGTTTCTTCCTCATTAAGTCATTTTGACATGTACCCTCGGAGCAACATTGGTCCATTTGTAAAATATCAAAACTTTAAATTTCTATTGAGACAAAAACAAATGGATGGATGGATGCCTTGCACCAATTACCAAAAAAAAAAAAAGTTAATGCTTAATTTCTTTCAAATTTGATATTTTTTCTAAATTTAATTTGTAGAACATTTTTAATACATGAAAGTTTTGCTCATAAACGAATTTTGTACGAATTGTATTTTTAGTATTGCATTTGTTGAAAGCAAATAGCCCGTTATACGTGGGCTTTTTTTTTAAATACCTGATATCAGGAGAAACGAATAGCACTTGTGTTGTATTATGTTTGGTACCTTTGTCTCGATGGTTTCTTTCTTAGTTTAACGGCATATCGACACTTATGGGTCATTTAGTGTCGAACGAAATTTAATTTTCTTGGGAGCATTAGTAATTTCTTTTACAAAAATGTATCGCTGTTTTTTTTTTTGGTTTTTTTCAAAAATGTATTGCTGGTAATATATTTCTTTTTTATAAATATGTATTGCGGGTAAATTTTTTTACTATGAAAATGTATTGCTGGTATGTTTTATATAATATAAAAAGGTATTTTTATACTTTCATAGTGTTTTGACCCTAGTTTGGGGGTTAACTGTTTGCCAATAACTGGGACCCTAGCAGGTGCTACCACCAGGAGTCAGGTTGGACCTGGGAACCTCCAATCTTCCGACCAGATGCCTTGCTCCCGGATGTAGTTTATCGTCATACCCAGGACGATCTCGTTATTTTTTAAGACAAAACAATCGGTATGCGTTGAGAACTGTTGAAAACCAATAAAGTGTCAAACATGTCAGAGTTCAACGAAAATATTCCCAAAATGAGAGAATGTAATTTCTGAACTGTGTCTTGTTGCGACTGAAACTTTCATTTAATGTCTTGTGACAAAAACATCGACATTTCTAGATTACGTTCAAAACTGATATTTCACCGTTTAGCAATAAATGAATCTGAATGTAGTCACAAATTGAACGAAACTCACCTACATACCCACACTAAGAGTCAGTTTACTGTGGGGTACCGTACATACAGGCCAAATATATGGGCCAAACACAAAAATACACTTTGATCCCAGATCTAAGGCTGGAAAATAGAAATCATTTTTGCAGACCTTTTTACGTTACCCAATACTTTAAAATCTTAAAGAGCTTTTGTTACATATTGAATAATTTTTTTATTTATGTACTGATGCAAATCTGACTTTTAATCTGTTTAATATGGAGTGCCGTACATACAGGCCAAATATATGGGCCAAACACAAAAATTGCTCTCACCCCCGCCCCCACCAACGGCAACTGCCACCAATTTCTCTTTAGTACAATGAGGAAGGTGTTGCCGCAAGGTTGGAAGCCCCGGGATTAGATTTCCCTCATAATTTCAAGGGCTCACAAGCATTACACTTTGATCCCAGATCTAAGGCTGGAAAATAGAAGTCACTTTTACAGACCTTTTTACGTTATCCAATACTTTCAAATCTTCAAATAAAGAGATTGTGTCAAATATTGCATAAAACTTTTATTTATGTATTGGTGCAAATCTGACTTAAATAAAACGTATAAAAAATGACTTTAAATAAAAATAATTAAATTAAATTAAAAAGATTCAAACATTAATTAAATACAAAAAATAAGAGTTATAAAAAAACAATGACTTTGAATTAAAAATACTTGATTTAAATTTTTTAAATATCCAAATTTGCACTAAATAACAAAAATTGAAAATCTTTTGAAGTGGATTTTATTGTACATTGCATATATTTTAAAAGATTTGGTAATGATGCAGAAAAGTTTCTTTCAGGTGGTTGCATTATATATATATATATATATGGCGAAGAAAAACCAAAATTATCTCAACATGGGGATAGTCTTATTTCAAGCTGGTCTGTACGCAGCAATCTTAAGCCTCTAAGTGTCTGTCTCGGAGCATTGTTTAGGGGCTGATGATAGCTACGTAGACCAGCTTGAAATAGACTATCCCCATGTTGGGCTAATATTCGTAAAAACAATACACTAGAATTCGTCTGTATCTCTGCTGAAGTGCCGATGGCTTGGGGTAGAAACTCCGACCAATACCAAATCGGTCGGGTTTCGATCCTGGCATGAAGCATTCGGTTGTCTAGTCGCACTGATGAGCTGTGATACAGCGAAACAGGCCTGTATGCAAATGACATTGTGTGTGTGCTTATATATATATATATATATAGGAAGAGCTGCAGTAGATGTTCTTTTAACTTCTCGTCAGTCATCATTTTTATTTCTGTTAAAATCTTTTTTGTTGATGACAGTCTGCTTTCTCACCAGCAGAGAACAGTTCCTTTGATGCTACCAAGAAAATCCGCAGACTGTTGGGAAAATGCACTTTGGTAAATCAAGATGAAATCTGAGAAATCCTTGTTTTTTTTTGTTTTTTTTTCTTTTTTTTTTTTTTTGGCCAAGAATTAATAAAAGCTGTGTGAAAAAGTGCGGAAAATTTAATTTAATCGTTGTTACATAACACACACATACACACACACATATATATATATATATATATATATATATATATATATATATATATATATATATATATATATATATATATATATATATATATAATGTGTGTGTAGAAATGGGGAAATAGAAATGTGTGAATTTTGCCCTCTATTCGAACTTTTTTTTTCTTTTTTGCTAATCTGTAGCAAAATGTAAAAGATAGAATGGATGCGGAATCTGATAAGTATTCTGATATTTTAAAATTGTTGAATATACTTTTGATATATGAATTTGTCTTAAATAAACACAAGTCACGTATTGTAATGTGAAATTTGAGACTAGAAAGAAAGAAATTGAATGAGTATAAGAAAGCTTTTACATGATAAACAAAGCTGCTATTAAAAAGAAAAGTATTTAAATTTTAAAGCCGTTATATGAAAATGAATACAGTCCAAGAATTTCAAATAGCATACAGAAAATTCTAGATCAATTCATTAGAAGGTTCATCCAGATAGCATTGACCTAACCCGGGTCGTTCAGTGCATTACCCTTTTTTTCTGTTTCTGACAACGTCATCATGATGACGAAATTTTAAAAATTCATAAAACAGAAAATGAACAACAACATTCAAATGTTTTGAGATACAAGGAAGTTGCTAGGCATCTAAATATTTCTGTTAATGCCACCATGGCTCGATTGTAACGAAATGGATGAAGTTTGGGACCCAGAAAAACATTTCTTGCTACTCCACATTATCTGTCCGGCCAATTAAGGACAGATAAGATAAATTTTGATCTCCTCTCAGGCTACTGCCGCGATACAAGTTTCTCATAAATAATACATTTATTAAAATAAAACGAGTTTTCAATTATTTGATTGAATTTAGGAATTAAGACAGAAAATATTATAAATATATATTTGAATCCTCGCCTTCTGCTCCTTTATTCCCGTAGACTCCATGAGGAGTATGGGACCACAGCACTCAAGTCCCGTAGACTCCATGAGGAGTATGAGACCACAGCACTAAAGTCCGGTACACTTCATGAGGAGTAAGGGACCACAGCACTCAAAACCCGTAGACTTCATGAGGAGTATGGGACCACAGAACTCAAGTCTCGTAGACTTCATGAGGAGTATGAGACCACAGAACTCAAGTCCCGTGGACTTCATGAAGTGTATGGGACCACAGAACTCAAGTCCCGTAGACTTCATGAGGAGTATGGGACCACAGCACTGAAGTCCCGTAGAATTCATGAGGAGTATGGGACCACAGCACTCAAGTCCCGTAGACTCCACTGAGTAACTCTCAAGTCCCGTCGACTCTCTGAGGAGTATGTTGCCACAGCACTCAGGTCCCGTAGTCTCTACTGAGGAGTATGTGATCACAGCACTGAAGTCCCGTAGACTCTCCGACGAGTATCGAGACACAGGGCTCAAGTCTTATAGACTCAATGAGTATGATGACGTTGGTTATAGTTTACATGAAAATATTAAGATACACAGACGGTCAAATTTTAAATTAAAATTTTGACAATTTTTTTCTGATTTTCTGTGTTGAGGAATTATCATTAATTATATTCGGCATATCGTCTAGTTCTTCTTCTTATTTAGTACTGTACAATTATTCAGCGCCCGTTTCCATTGAGTGCCTGACACAGGGATTGAACTCTAACCACTATGTCATCAACTTCACAAAACAGTTCTTTTCGGCTTTTTGTCTCTTTTAACCATAACCGAATTCTTTATTATGATAAACGATAAATGCATGTTTCACAAAAGATCCTTCTTATGTTTAGCTAATCTTTTATTTACATTCCGAGATACCTCGCCATTTCAACTCTGCCCGTTTTACTGCGTTAATAATAATAATAATAATAATGATAATAATAATAATAATGATAATAATAATAATAATAAACAAAACTAAAAATCCTAGAAGACCTATATAGAAAAAAAATATATTATATTATATATATATATATATATATATATATATATATATATATATATATATATATATATATATATATATATATATATATATAAGTGACATGCAGAGGTTTGGTGATGTCCAGTGCGAATTCCTTGACTCAGGTAGGTGTTCTATAGGGCCTAATACTGAGAAATGTGAGAAAGGAAGACATTTTAAATATGTAAAAACAGATGAAACATGAAATAAACACTTTATTCAAATTAAATATAAGCTAAATTTTTATTTCTCTCTTTGATTGGATGCCCTCCCGATATAGATGATTTACACCCACTAAACCCACCACTTCTGAACGCTTCGGATTATATATATATATATATATATATATATATATATATATATATATATATATATAAATTATTTTCAGGTGGAGTGTATCTGTACATTCATGAACATTCATGAACTTTCCCAATTTTAAAACCCTTGATAAGCAAATGACAATTTCGCTTTTATATATAAATACGTGCAACAAAATAAATCCTACACTGCTTTGATAAAGTCTCTTAGAGAACGAAACGCGTCGGTTAAAATAGTTTTTCCCCTGGTTTCCTTACATATATATATGTATGTGTGTGTGTGTGTGTGTTTGTGTGTTTGTGTGTGATAACGATATATATATTTTATATATCAATAACAGTATTGGGGAAATTAACAAAGTGGAAAAAGTTTACTTGTGACGCGTTTCGCCTTCAGGACTTCATCGGGCTAAATTTGTCAGGTTGGTAGGACTACACATGCGCACGACAGAGGAGTGCTGGGAATTTTAGAATATTTTTTTTTTTTATCAGCCGAGTCGTTTTCTATGTTACAATTGTGGTCAATCAAGTTATGGTGGGAAAGCGACGCATTAGATGCTTTATTTTGTAAAATGTCCCTTTTGAGTTTATATAATGTTTTCTTTACATTCCTTGAGGTTTCTCCTGTGTATTTTTGTGACAATTATTACAGACGATAGAGACCCCCCCCCAGGTCTTAGCTTATTGCTATGCTTAATATTGAGTAAGTCTTTTATTGATTTTAATGTTGAGTTTAGATAGATTCTTTTCGATTTTAGATGTGATAGAATTAGTAGGCAAGATAATATATATATATATATATATATATATTATTCCGCATACTAATTCTATCGCATATTAATATCATTATATTATAATTTTATTATTATAATATTCATATTATTATTATATAATTATATTATATATAATTATATTATATATATCTGTATATATATATACATATATATATAATTATATATATATTTATATATATATAATTATATATAATATAATTATGTATATATATATATATATATATATATATATATAATAGAATTATATATAATATAATTATATAAAATAATTTAATAAATTAAAATATTATTATTATATATTTATATATATATATATGTATGCATGTCTATATATATGTATGTATGCATGTCTATATATATATATATATATATATATATATATATATATATATATATATATATATATATATATAATTTCAACGTTAATTTAGGCTGGAAACCGGACTAATAATGTCACTTATATAGCCTCTACACAAGCATTATTTTAAAAAATTCGTAACAATAAAAATCGAAAGACGTTAGTGATTAAAAGAAGGATTGAAGGATATTGTGAATACCCAGCGTATACGCACACACATTCGTTTATACAGATTTTATACATGGACAGGTATGTACACATATTTGATTTTGTTGTTTTTTTTTTTTTTTTCCTCCTGGTTGTTTTGGTATGATTACCTTCAGTCTAGAACGGAAACCACAAGCGTAGATGTAAAGGTGCTTTCCCTTCGGTCATAGAAGCAAAAATAATACGAAATAAGGTCAGACGAGAGAAGGCATAACACACACTACCAGTTCGAGTCGGTCGACTCCGATATTAATACGCAACGATTTCCAAACGGTGGGTGGTCCAATATGACCTCAAACGAACCGAAGATAATGGAACAGCAAAATCTCAATTGGGTTACTGTGTTTAAAAAAAAATTGTTTTCACTGTTTTCGCTTTGTATATTGTTGTTATACGCCAGCCCCCACCCTTTTTTTATTTTATTTATTTATTTATTTTTTTTTTTTTAGCTGGTACGCCACTTCCGGTAACTCCGAAGTCCAGTCAAACACTTATATCCGTGGATAATAGTCGAGAACAGAAAGAATGAATCACTCTATATATTTATATACATTTGCAAGAGTATTCACTGACGCACACACATAATGACATGGAGAATTGCATACATATTACCATTGCGTATCTATCCACATCTATTTATCTTTACTGTATTATAAACTGGGCAGACATTTTGTAAAACATGACACACACATAAGCGCCCAAACACACCAGTGTTAAATTAAATCCTGTGTATTAATTAAAATAGTGAAGAAACACAAGCCAAGCATCAAATAAAATTATTAATCAAGATTTCATAGTGTGTATAATACTCACACAAACACACACACATATGTGTGTGTGCGTGTATATGTATGTGTGTGTGTTAAAATATAGTGTGCTACATTTATGCGTAAAAGTGCTCCATATCAGGAATAGAGTGTGTGTTAATATAAAAGTGGACACTTGGGTCAACAACGAGGGGCGATAGTCTGCATTACGCTTGAACACAAATCTTTATGGCCTGAAACAGACTGTCGCCGGTTTGTGTTGACCTCTCTCACTGTCTCTCTCTCTTGAAGTCTCTCTCTCTCTCTCTCTCTCTCTCGTACACACACACACACACACATATACACACGCTTTCAATTTCATTTACGTGTTAAGTATTTTACAAATATGCGCATCGTATATATATATATAAGGTTACAAAGAGAATAGACTAATGTCTGTCTTGCAGTTGATCACTCAGAAACGCTTTCTCTCATGTCTGTCCATCTCTTTCTCTCTCGCTCCCACGCACACTGCATATACATATACAGACATATGCGTATGCAGCAACGCACACTGAATAAAAAATGTATCAGAGTCTGAAAATGGGGAGCGTTGTAAAGTGCACTTGTCCCAGACATTGACCTCAAAGTGAACAGTCAGTGTCCAAGGTATCCCCACTTTCTCTTTTTCACCCACAAGTAAGAAGGCGGGAAAGGACAGGGAAGAAATGAATAACGTGTGCGTTGTGTAGAAATGTGCAAGATACAGTCAATAGTCTTTAATAGTGTCCCCTACCAATCTTCTTCCCCCACTTCGCTATCTTACCCACCCACGACCCTAGATCCACGAGAAGATAAGGATACCAAAGAAAAAGGCTGCCGTGAGTTGCTTTACGTTTTTCGGTTACTGTTCAGAAAAAAAAAATCCCGCCAGAATATACGGTTCAAAAGAAGTTACCACACTTGACTGATTTAAAGCTATTTTCACATACCCGGATGAGTCTGGAGACGGCAACTTCTGTTTAGATTTTGCTTATATGTAAAACAATGATGCATGAATGAGTGCGTGTTTTACTAAAACTTCAACAGATTTCTATCTTATTTTTGGCTGTTTTTCCAACAAAAGCAACATAGAAATAGAAATTCTTTTCATGCCCCCAACTACCCACGCACAGTCGTGTGATCAAAGATCCCGAGAAATGTAGGTATGTACATTTTGACCGGTTAATTTATTGTCTCCCAAATACTACTGAAAGGATCATTACAAAATAACAATTATATATATATATATATTAAGAAATATACATAACTTACATTAATTGCACAACTCTGAGTTTCATACCGAAGCAATTTTCAAGTGCTGGAATTATTATGTTTATTTTTGTTTATATTTTGGGTCGACGCCGTTTTTCTTTTTAAATCGTTCACACGAGATATATTATTATTGGGGGTAGGAATATTATTGGAATTAAAATATTTAAATGAATTTTAGTTTAATTTTGAATCTGAATTTAAGATCAGATTTAAGATTGAAAATAAGGTTGTAAATAAAAAATAAAACTTCTAAATTAGAGAGACGCTGGTTTTGAAAGCGTAAGTAAACAAAAAAGTGGCGTTGGGAACTCGGGGGTGGGGGTTCAACAGTATTTTTATCAAAATTAAGAGAGTTATTAATAATAACTAATGATATCAAGAACAAATTATGCCATGTTAATTAATATATATATATATATATATATATATATATATATATATATATATATATATATATATATATATATATAGGCACGGTGGAGTAATGGATAGCGGCCGAGTTCGAATTCCAGTCAATTACATGCTAATACCCTTGGGAAAGGTGTGAATCCTCTTCTCTCTCCAGTTATGGGTAAAATAGCAGGAAGGACAGACTGGGTTCTATAGCCTTGGATGGCAACTGGTCTAGGAGAAGGATAACTCTGAATTCAAGTTGCTTTTGCACCAGGTCTCTGTATTCGGCCCTTCAAAAAGTATGGATGGTCCTGCACGAAACCTTCACCGCTATAATCAAATCTTATGTGCTGTTGTTGGGCTGTCGGTTTCCTAGGAACTAATCTGCTTGACTTTCATACGGTCAAGGTTAAGGTTCACTCAAGGTAAAGGGTTACGTTAATGAGTTGTTTATATGGATAGGAGGGGAAGATAACGGTTAACAGGTTAATATTGTAGTGACCAGGGAAACATCGTATTGGGAGTCTGTTCCACAGGGCAGTGGTTCGCGGGAGGAAGCTGTTGAGTGGAACTTACTTCTCACCTATTGAATAGGGAATGAATTTGGATGTGGTTTGCTCCTATATAAGTGGCATGGCGGGTCCTAGCTGTGAAAGTTAGATCTAGCGGAACTAGGGAATGTAGTTCGTCCGAGAACTTTCTATGCTAGTAGCGATAGAGCAGATAGGGGCTTCCCACGTCCCGCCTGTGAGAGAGATGGTTTTTTTTTTGGGGGGGGGAATAATTCTTCACACAAAAGAACACGGAGACGCTTTCGAACTCTATCAAGACTGGAAATCTCCCGCCCAAATAGGGCATCAGTACACCAAGTCCAACCTCATCTGACTCTTATAAAGGTAAAGGATAGTATGAGGAGTCAGGTACCTACTGGAGTGGTACAGGGAGTCGATCATTTTACCTGCATCTTGAGCGATAGATCGTATATAAGTGTTCCACTTAAGGTCAGGTGTGAGTTTGAGGCCCAATATTGCCTCAAGGCACGGTGCCTCCTCGAGCGAATATCCATTCATCGGGCATATATATATATATATATATATGTCCGAAGAACGGTTATATATATATATATATATATATATATATATATATATATATATATATATATATACAAACACATAAAGATGCTCATGATATGTGTGTGTGCTCGTATATGGTAGTGTAAGAAACAAACATGCTTGCACTTACACGATATAACAACGTTTCAAATTATTTTGAATTCGTCTCGCTGCACTAATTGCCCTCGCCATCTTCGTCTAAATGATGATAACCGTCTTATATTACGCAAATGGTTCTCCCCACCACCCTCAAAAAAAAAAAGACAAACAAACAAACACTAAAGACATTTTTGCTGGTGCGTCAATTACGTGTTCATTGATGTGTGTATGGAGTTGGGTTGAGCGTGATCGGCTCTAATTCTCTCGGATTAAATACGGCGCTTCCCACAGGCCGCAAGTTTCAAAAGTAAAAATTTTACAAAAACGACAAAAATATCGTGTATAGAAGTAATTTTATCTTCTCTTTCTCCCTCTCTCTCTCTCTCTCTCTCTCTCTCTCTCTCTCTCTCTCTGTATATCTGCGTGAGGACACGTGAACGTATATGGTGATGTGTGCGTGTCTGCATGGGTGTATTTAACATCAGTATGCATCGAAAATAAACTCTCAACTCACAGCCTTTTCCTTAAGAAAATATTTTTCACTATTTGAACTGCCTTAAATACTAAAAAATACAAGTTGAAAGTTGGTTGCTTTGTGGTATAGACAACATAAAACATTGAAATGAACGGAGAGGGGGTCAGGTTTTCGATAATTCGTACAGTCGGGTCATCGGGTTTATTAGTGAAATTCCTATTCAATTGCTATCCGGAACACACACACACACACACACACACACAAGCTCGAGTTATGTGGATGTAATTGTCTGTGTCGATCGGAAAATAGGAATGGCTAGGTTAATTATTTACACTATTTACAATGTTCGAACTGTTCTCATCTTTGATGCCATATTCAACATTTCGGCCGTTGTACAATCACCTGAAGAAAGCCAGAGGTACAAAGGCCGAAACGTCGTGAATATGGCAACAAAGATGAGGACAACAGTGTAAACATTGTAAATAGTTTAAATAATTACAATACTTCATCTCAGAAAGATAGATAGATAGATAGATAGATAGATAGATAGATAGATAGATATTGGCTAAGTTGGTTAATTTCAGTTATTTAATAGCATATTTGTTATGGGACACTCATTAACGATCTAACACACTACTCAGTATTAATGGTCAAATAGTCATGCTTCACTAACCACTATCCTCCTGCCAAGATGCCTCAAACGGCAGGGAAATAAACTAAGGAAATAATGAATAAAATCCTACGTGGCAATAGTAGATTAAGATGTTGGTTCATAGTAATTGTGAGTTCAATACCTAGATCGGGCAGTGTGTACTTGGACTCCATAGAAACAGAGGTGTGCAATAACTGAGCAATAGTAAAAATAAGAACTAGATGAGATGAGATGTCCCGGAAAGGGATATATTTGTCCGAAGTAGCAAAGTGGGTTTTGAACTACTGTAACCGAATAGGACAAACTAGCAGCTAACCGTAATTGACTGGTCCTCGTCGTAGTGGTAGGCAATAGGCGTAGGCCAATAGGCGTCGTCTCTGTACCTCCACATCAGTGTGTATTTATGGATGACACCAGCCAATCATATTACTATGAGGGGGAACCCAGGTATATGCATATTCCTTACTTCACCTCCCCTTGAGCTGAATTTTATCGTGAAATTTAGCTTCAATATTTTCTCTTTTTAGGGTTTGGACTTAATCGATTTTTTTCCTAAGTCTTTTTCGCCTCAATCCTCCTTGCAGTGGTGGCATTTGACACACTGGTACCTCTGGCCTTGAGGTCAGGGATACCTCCATTGGCGAATGTTGATTTACTGGAATGGGAATTTCAAATGCCCCATACAGGACTTCCATTGGAATCTCTTCGGTATTTTCCGTGACCTCTGTAGTCTGTCTGGGTCTCAATTGATTCCAATGTCTTTTGCATGGAAATTTTTCCCCTTTTATGTCATATATGACCTGTCCAATTCTTTTGGTTATCATTCCTTCTTCCCAATACATTTTTCCAGCCCTAAAGTTCTTGAAAAAAACTTAGTCACCTGGCTTATACGCTTTAGTCATCTGGTTTTCTTTTTTATCAGTTTTCTTCGCCGGACTAAGCAACAGCCTGTCGAACACAGAACGTATTTTTCTCGCAAACATTAACTCTGCTGGCGATAACCCTGACGTCGTATTCGGGTTTGGCGTGATTCTATATACTGCCAAACATTTCTGAATACTTCTTTCATTCGTGTCCACGCCTTGGTTTTTCTTCAAAGCTCGTTTAAAGGGGCCCACGAATTTTTCCGCCTGTCCATTCGATCTTGGATGATATACTGGCGTTGTCTTGTGATCAATGGACAATGATGTACAGAATTCCTTGAATTCTCTTCCGGTAAACTGCGTTCCGTTGTCGCTGACTAAAGTTTTAGGGAGTCCAAAGCGACTAAAAATGCCATTAAGTGCATTTATTGTATTTGTCGCAGTCGGATGCCTGCACTTAATTTCTGGCCGCTTAGTGAAACTGTCCACAATGATCAGGTAATAAGATCCATTTACGGGCCCTGCATAGTCAATATGCAATCAAGTCCATGGGATATCAGTCTATGGCCATGGTTGAATCTTTACCGGTGGATCCCTTGCTGCCAGTTGACATCCTCTGCACTGTTTCACCAAATTTTCTGTCTTGGTCCATTCTCGGCCAATAAGTATAGCCTCTCATTAGAGATTTCATCCTCGAAATCCCTGGATGGCCAGTGTGAAATTCTTTCAGAATTTTCTTTCGCAGAGTACACGGCATTACCATTCTATCTGCGTATAGTAATACCTGTTCGCAGATTGAAAAAGGTGACACACTAATTCCTTTTTTAGTTGTCTCGATCAACCAGACTTGCTTTTTCATTTTTTTAATGAAATATATCGTTCACCGCTGCTTTTTTCACATCTTCTAGCATAACCGGTAATTCTCTAATAGTGTTGCATAACAGACCCGACAATTCACTTTCGTCTCTTAGCGCCGCTATTGCTGTTTCTTCCAGTGGTTCCGTATATCTAGGCATCAATCTTGATAACCCATCGGCGTGACCTAGCTTCTTTGAAGGCACATATTCCATTTTGAAATTATAATTCAATAGAATTACCCACCAACGCTGTAGTCGATTTGCCGTGTGAGTTGGTATACCCTTTTTTGAACCAAATATTGTTAACAGCGGTTTTTGGTCTGTTTGCAGAATAAATACTCTTCCGTATAGAAACCTGTGAAATTTTTTACAGCGTAGATTATTGCTAAACTCTCTTTTTCTATTTGACTTTAACTTCATTCCTCGGGCAGTAACGTTCTCGAGGCATGTGCTATTGGCTTCGTAGATCCGTCCTCGAATTTATGAAGCACCTAGTCCCTCATTACTGGCATCTACTGCTACAATGATTTTCTTCTTCGAGTCGAAATGCGCTAGCGGTAGGTCTGCTAATAGACAGCTTTTTGTTCTTTCGACCATATCCACTTTGCGCCCTTTTTCACCAAATTATTTAAAGGAGCTCTCATCTCATACATTTTTGGGATATAAATGCTATAGTAACTTACTAATCCCAAGAAGGCCAAGAGTTTAGCCACATTATCAGGTGCTGGTAAATTTTTTATAGCATCAACCCTTTCTGCATCTGGTTTTCTTCCTTTACTGTCAATGATCTGCCCTAAATATTTTATCTTCTTTAACAAGAACTCGCATTTTTCAGCATTCAGCTTGAACCCGTATTCCTCAATTCTCTGAAATACTACTCTAATATGTGTTTTGTGTTGGGCCTCGTTTTCACTTTTAATCAAAATATCATCGAAGTATGCGATTGCATACTCCATACCAGCCAACATTGTGTCCATTATTTGCTGGAATGTGCTTGGAACTACCTTCAATCCAAAAAGAGGACGATTTAGTTTTAAAAAAAAACCCTTTATGCGTGTTTTTTGTCAGGTACTTCGAACATTCTTCACTGATTTTAACCTGAAGGTAAGCCTCCGACAAGTCAAATTTGAAAACACTCTACCTCCGTTTAATTTAGTGAATATATGCTCGGTAGAGGGTACGCATGGTTTTTCACACAATCATTTAAGCCTGTCGAAAAGTCAGCACACACTCTGATTTTTCGATTTTTCTTTTTTATATATACGATTGGAGACGCCCAATCCGAGTAATCGACTTTTAAAATTACGCCAATTTTCTCCAACCTTCCTAATTCTTCATTTATTGAATCTAGTGCCGAAAACAGTACTTTTCTCTTTGGTTTAAAGATTGGTTTAACATTTTCTTTCAATTCGAAGTTGACTTCTGTTTTTGTGCTCAGACCTAGTCCTTCTGAAAAGACGCGAGGGAATTCGCCTTTCAAATCCGTAATAAATCTTTCTGTTTGCTTCGTCTTATAGTTCTCTATGACGTTAACTTTGTTACAGAAAGAATTCACCGGCAAATCCCACAAATTAAACAATACGATCCAATCTGTGCCAAAGAACTTTACTGAACCAGGGAGCACATACACTTTCGATTTGTGAATTTTTCCCATGTATGCAATGTTACATTTTAATTCACCTCTAAACTTAAGTCTTTTTCCTGACACTCCCCTGGCAATTTTGTCTGTGTTAGTCAACGGTGGATAACCGATTTTTTCCATGTTTGCTCGTTTATTACCGAGATATCACTTCCTGTATCGAGTAATAATTTTACGGTCTGCCCATTTATTTTTAAATTGAAGTATTTTCTTCTTTGACCCTCCTCAATTTCGTTTTTAGACAAAATTACCTTCACCTTTGTTTGAGATTTTGCTTTTACTTTTCTCTGTTTTGCCTGACAATGGGAACTTCTGCGGCCTACACCACCCACAATTAAAACATATTTTATCCCTAAAGAAAAAATCCTTCTTTATATGCTGTCCTCCACACGAACTGCATATAATTTTTCTTCCTTTATTTTGTATCCACTTCTGTTGTCTTACAGTTTGTACTCGCTAAATGCTCTTCTCTTCAATCCGCGTATTATCTTTTTTTATGTTTATAAGTCGCTGACATTCTTCCGTTATTTTTTGTAGCGTAATCTTCGGATCCTGTTCCATGATAGTGAGGATTCTTGATCTAATTTCTTTGTCCTTCGGTGTCGTTAGACCCTGCACAAAAATTAGACACTTAAACATGTCGCTTGACAATTCCTTTAATTTAAACGCGTCACACTGTGCGTTAACCATACCTGCATACGTGACAAAATCATCATCCTCTTGTTTTACGATATTTAGACACTTGTATCGTGTATGAAACAGACTATCTCTTTCATCGAAAATTTTCGACAAAATTTCTACTGTTTCACTGAATGTCATTTCTTCTGGCTTCTTTGGGAGGATTAAATTCGCGTATTCGGTTCCCAACTTCTGCAACAATAGAGTGATTTTTTCCTCGTCGGACCATTGTTCGCATCTTTTCGTAAATATTGTTTCAAACCTACGAAAATA